TTTCAACACGTCTTCGTCTTCCTTGCTGCAAGATGTCGTGGTCAGCGCTGATGGGGTGATGGAGAGTCGTGCCCGCGGGGTAGGCCGAAGTAGCTCCCGATGGTAGGTTGCGCACGAACCAACGCGTTGAACATGGGTCGACACGGTCGAGATGGAAAGGCAGAACTTGGATGGAATGAGAGCATACCTGGTGCGTCTTCTCTTCTGGCGAGCAAGAGCTTTGTTGTCGACATCCGGTGGCATGTGGTTTGCGACAGTTTCCTGCGAGTGCACGAGGAAGGCCAATTGACCACTAAAACTGGCGCGTCTGACGGTGGGAAGACGCGATGACGCAGGCGAGGAAAACGACGGCAAGGGCGATGAAGCGGACATGATGGGATGACAACAACGGATGTTGGCAATTGGATTTGGTGTGATCAGAGAAGAGCTACCATGAAAGAGTGTTATAGTGGAAAGAATAACGCGTTCAATATGGTGGCAGGAAAGTAGTGTGCGAGGCGCGTCTTCAGTCGCGTACGTATCAGATTGGTCCGAGCCGAGCGCTTGCCTATGTCGTGCATACCACTTGACTGAACTTGACGCCCGTGCACACGACCACTCCAGCCTCATATCCTGTATTATCCATGCGGCAGATGGTCACGCATGCACGAGCATGATGAGGCTGAGAAATTTCCACATTCTATCACGCCCAATCTAAGCATCGCTGACGAAAACGCGTGCATCCCATCACTTCGATAGCCTTTCGTGGTTCATCTCGGCGTCTTGCAAGGAACTACGCGAACGCGGGACGACAATTATCTGTTTTGCTTTTCCAAGGTCCTCAGCCCTATTTCGGAACACGTCCAAGAACGCGCGTGAGCAGAGCCCATTGCACAGCAGATTCGTGCAGCAGCATTGGCCCTCTGTATATTGCCGCCCCTCTCTCGACATCATCTGCTTCCACGCGGGATGAAGACGCGTAGGAGTCGCGACGAAAACCATGCTTCTGGTTCCACACGCGTAGCACTGACAAAGCTAGTACTCAAAAAGGATAGTGGTGAAACACGTCAGCACGTGACGCGCTAACCCTTCCAATCACCCCGCCACAACCGCGAAACACGAGTCAAACAATGCACGGTTCTGCTCATCACAACGTTCTGACACAGACTCTCTGCCATCGGTATCCTCCGATGACCTACCCTGCCTGTACGCATCATTGCGACTGCAATTTAGGCAGCGACACACTACTCAACGACTATCCAGTCCGGCCTGCAGTCTAATTCTCTTGGCGGTAACTCTCACCGTCAGATGGGCTTGCACGATGCTCAACCACCATTCCATCTCTATTCCCGCAGATGCGCATACTCACTTGTCCTCCTTAGCATCTGACCTTTTGCATGCACTTTGGTCTAGTCGCGGTCTCATTGTTCCATACCTTCGTACCCCACATCCACCGGTGAAGACAACCATACAAGGCAGAAGGTTTTGGAGCAAGAGTCGGAGGGTTCCGTGGCCTGATTATACAGATCTTTCGCGTCAAGACTGATCGGTGTCTTTCTGCCTTGTACAGTACACTCTGACGATGTCTGTGTTCAGGAGCCAAGGAGAGTTGCACTGCTCGGACCGAAGCCGACAGAAGATATTCGTAAGACAGCTTACTATCCCGCAACCACGTGCTGCGTGCGGCACTTCTGGAGTTTCAACATTCGCGTATTGGCCATCGAGATCTGACCGAGTGCCTGTGGCTTTTTGGCGTTCGTGCAATCCTTGAGCCTCACCGGTTTTGGCCCCATTTTCCTATCTCGTCATCACCAGTTACCTCCTAACCTGCCATTACGATGGATGATTGGCGGATGGCACCCTTGCCCAAATCACAGCTACCAACGGTGTGCTGTTCTGACAGCCCTACGAAACAAGAAAACCCGACCGCTAGGTTCCTGTTCGCGTAGGCGAGCTACTGCATCGAGCCTCGGATGAGGGTTTCACACCCGAGAATCTACACTTCGGTCAGAGATACGGTCGGATCGTGGTATAGGGCTAGCCCTATGGGTCCACTTCCGTACGCAAACTCCGCTTCCGCCGCGAAGATTCTGGAGTCTGAGATCCTTTCGCACGATATAACCGCCACTCTACCACTGGAACGCGGATCGTGACTGAACGTTCAGCTAGCACTTTAATTGGTTGGAGCTCACTGCCTAGTGCTATTGTCGCAGGACATGACTATGCACGGTCTCGATGCTCGTTTGGCTTTGATTCGCCGGGGCCAGGTGTTTCTTCCGTTGATTTCATCTCTAGTCCTCTGATCGGATGCAGGGCTTAGGCCTCTATTCCTCTCTTCCCGGTCTCTGTCCGCCGTCCGCAACAAGTGTGCTATCTCTTCCACTGTATCACATGTTGAGCCAAGAGTCACGGGAGCTGTCGTGGACAACACTCCAGCGAATCGGCCCCTGATTGTTGACTAGCGAACATTTGACCCAGCGGGAAAGGCGTCGAAAGCAGGCAACTGTACCCAAGAGGCGAAGAGGTCCGCCGTTAGCCCTTCATCATAGCTTGTCACGCCAACCTCCGAATACCCATGCACGTTGCAGAAGACGGTGGCAGTCGTTCTACCTCCGTCCTAGCACTAGACCGGGCTTCAGGAATTCATTGATGTAACAGGCTTTGTTTGTGTTTCTTTACGCTACAAGTCAATCTCATTGGCAGCGTCACTTCCACATAACTCTGTATTGTAAGCAATGTTCCCATATGTGCAGCTTTCCCCTGTTGCTGCAATATTTCAGGCCGACCACGATAACTTGTGCGTTACATTCACCCTTTTCACCGATACAGTGCCACCCTTGTGAGTCACGGGCCTTCATAGCGATGTGATGGTGTTGACGGAGGCAGTCTTAAAGCCCAACTCACGTCCGGCTTTGTGCTACACAAGATACAGGATCGAACTTATAAGCTCATACGCCCCAGCATCTTCTTTTAACTTAACAAGCTCAAGCAAAGCAATGTCTGGCAACATGCGCGTCGCAATAGCAGGTAAGGCAGCTATCAAAAGCCAAGCAAACTACATTCGGGCAACCTTCTTACACTGTTAGGCACTTCTGGTCTAGCGCTTCTGATAGCACAAGAGATCAACAACTCGACGAGCCACCAGCTGATCATTCTCTCGCGAGCCGTAAGCACCCCTTGGAAGAACACAGTTCATCTCCCGAGTACCAAGTAATGAACTAACGATCACCAGCATCAAACGAGCCTGATCGCTTCTGGTTACAACTGTCAAGTCGTTGACTACAACAGCCCTACATCTCTGCAGCATGCATTGATGGGTGTCGATACCGTCATCTCGACTGTACTGGGCAATCCTCAACTCCGTCTAATAGAAGCGGCTGTACAGTGCCGGGTTCGTCGCTTTGCACCTGCGGAATTTGAAGGTCAGCCAATTCAGCGAGGCCAGAACGCGCTGCTCGATCGTGGCCGCAACTCTGCGTTGGCCTTACTGCACCACTACCGCGCCAATATACAGTATACGGTCTTTGTTTGTGGCATACTTTATGAGCGCTTCTCGGTGAACGGGATGATGTCTCATCGTCTTGGGACTCATAGCGGCTATGGCAACGAGGGAGACTTCATCGCCGACCCACGGCAGATGACTTCGATGGCACCGATTTACGACGCAAACCAAAACCTCTCCTGTATCTGCCTGACATCCGCATACGATGTGGCACAGTTCGTGGTTCGTGCCCTCGACATGCCAACTTGGCCTTCCGAGATGAGCATGTGTGGTGAGCGTATGACCGTCCATGCCTTGGTCGAGGCTATCAAGGCGTGTCGTAGTAAGTATCATCACTGTCTGTCTGATGAACGGACTTTGCTAACATGTCCTTAGACCGACCATGGGCTAGCATTGACTACCAAGCCCCCGCCAGTACGCAGGTATTCTTTACAGCATTCATGCAGTTGCTGACCGACTACGCAGATCTCGAGTACCAAATGACGATGGCTCAACTGGGAGGAGACACAGCCGGACAGAGGCGGCTCGCACCGCTCCTCGCGACAGCGGAGGGGCGCTATGATTTTGCGGTACCCGCCTACCTTAACTCAGTCTACCCAGACGTGCAGGTCACTCGTTTCCAAGACTGGTTCCTGCGCAACTGGGCCTCGATACCGTGAACCAATATCATTGTGGAGTATCATCCGGTACTATGACGATACTTCCGGGACCGAAGAATATCCGCACGGGACTGGTCATACTTGGATCGTGCACAAGGGTTCGGTTCCTAGGATTTTGACAACATTTCATGGGGCTCCATGCTCCGTCTTCTCCACTTACATACTGATTCGATTTCGTTCTCAGACTGCTTCTATGTACCAATATCGAGTTGGCGATTGAACTAAGGTCTATGGGTCGCAACAAAGCTTCGAGGCGTTGACGATGGGATGCTCTTTGCAGCTTACAATGCAATTATATTCGTAATGTTACCAAGTCTGCAATCCCCAAGTCATTGCAATCTTACAAGGGTTTGGCAGTTGTGAGGGTTTGATCAGGTTGTGTCGCTTACGCCTGAGAGACTACCTGGAACGCCTCCACTGCCAACACCGCACGCGACACGTAGCGGCTCGCTCGTTCCGAAGCACAAGCAACGCTAACTATTTCTGCAGAAGCATACCCGATCTGCGATGATGTGAGGAAGGGTCTTGTCAGAGTTTGATGGCAATCTTCGATGGGGAATTACATCAGGTCGACGTCACCGGTGGGGCAACCGCTCCCCACTGCCATAATAAAACCACGACGCGCCTGAACACTCTTTTCTTTTCAGTATCACAACCACAACTTCAATTACATCTTCACGACCAAATTCACATTCTCGAAAACTTTGTCTTTCTTCCCATACCTACAACGTGAGTTTCATTCCAAGAGGTGGTGTGGTGGACGGGTTAAGTTTGCCGTTCCTGGCGCGACGCCCTCAAACCATCCACGAGCACGCGTCTGTTCATGTTGCTAACATATCTTCAGCACAAACACATTCAAAATGGTTTCTTCTCAGCAAGGCTACGCTCCCACCACCGTCGACATGAAGGGTAACCCCCAAGCTGTCAACGAGGTTCAGTCCAACCTCCCTCTCCCCGAGCAGCCCCCTGTCGCCTCCGACTTCAACTCTGCCGATGCCAGCACCGTAAACGTTGGCTCCGGTCGTCAAGAAGCCTCTTTCGCCTCCGGCGGTGGTGCCATCCGCGAACCCGCTGTCGGTGCTGGCGGTGTTTCCGGACGTGAGGCCAAGGATGGCCTTGGTGGCATCCCCAACGACGCTGTCTCGCGCGAGGCTAAGGACAAGGCTGGTCTTGCCGACACCACCAACAAGGACTACGGATACCCACAGAAGAACGACCCCAGCTCGGGCGCCAAGCAGTAGAGTACTGCAGGAGGAAGAATAATGAGATACCCGAAGCATCATGGGATTGTATGATTATGGCTACTATCACTGCGCTTAGTAGCAGACTGCAAGAGCAGTCTTACGATGATCAACGAATGAAATGAATGAACAAACAAACATGTCATCTACCTATCGAAATGTGATGTCGTGATGAAGATGATGATGTATGAATGAATCTAATCGCACCATGCTAGACTTCGTGCCAACGCCTCACGCGATCTGGATTGGACCGCGCATGCTACAGCCGCACCAACAGCACCTGCCCGGATGGCCCGTTCCTGACGCCATGTCAGCCGCAGTATGCACGTATGCCCGACTCTAGCACATGTATGGGTGGGACCATTGCCGCTTTCCGAGCTACCACTGCTACTGCCGTTCGACTAAAGGCGGGGTTGTTATGAGCACCTAGGTAAGGCTGAAGTAAGGTGGGATGTCTCAATGTGACGACGTCATGACGCAAGTATATCGGGGCTTGAAGTCTGACGGTATACATAGGTCAAGTTTGCACTTGACTTCAGGTACTCATACCACTTGAACTACCACAACTTCCAGAATCCAATCAATTGATTAACTCCAAATCTCAACATTTACAACAATTACAACACAAAAGAACCGTACCAAACAACAACATGTCGGCTTCACACGGACAGAAGGTAAGTTCTCTGTCTGGAGCTCTCATACTTCGTTCTTTATCGCTGAATCATGACCTCATTTATCATGACGGAATCGCAGAAACGCCCACTAACTTACTGCTTATAGGTAACCACCGACCCCGCGTCTAAGATCCCCGTCCACGAGGGTGTCGGCACCGTCACATCAGACTCTCTAGCAGGCGAGTCTCTGAAGGGCGACGGTTCATTCGGCGAGGGCAACCCCAAGGCCGCAGCAAGCAAGCAGCCATCAGCATCAACCACCACAAACACCCACGACACATCAAACGCCACCAAGCTAGACGCCGCCGTCAACGCCGAGGCACGCGACGCGCAACAAGGATGGAACGAGGAGAAGATCATGAACTCAGGCAAAGGTCTGGGTAAGGAGGCCGGAGTTGGTCCTACATACGCAGTTGCTGGTGGAGGTGCTTCATCAGGAGGCGCTGCCAGCGCTGGCACAGCACCTACTGGTGTTGCTGCTGGAAAGAACATTGACCCCAGTGTTCTCCAGCCCAAGGGTGCCAACTTGACAGAAGACCCTAACATGAGCGGTAACACCAAGTTTGGCGAGATCGGTACAAAGGATGACCCTTCTAGGCAAGCGGAGCTTAAGTTGGCGAAGGCGGCTGCGGCGAGTGCTGCTGTTGAGAACAGGGACCTGGCTCAAGGCGGCGACTCCAAGTTCAGCAACTTGGGTGACACCAACGCTTAGAGTTTCGATGATGCATTGCGATATACATCCAACATAGAGTTACGAGCCTAATGAAAGAAAAATAATGACCTGCAAGCTGTTATCGATGTTCTGGTGATGAGAGCGACAAACTCGAGGGGTGAAAGCAGCACGTGGCGGGGCCCTCCGAATCGGGCCTCTTCCGCGGGCACGGACGCGGGCCGTTGCAGCAGTTCAAGGTGGCCTTTCGCGACGCGGCATGAACCTCAACTATCAATGTCGCTCATTATCCCACCCACGCTTCTTTCTTTCACCTAACCGTTGACCGAATCGAAATTGGGTCTGCAGCACCCCGATTGTTCGTTTGACTGCCCACCATGAACGGCTACGGGGACAACGGGCACGACGAGGATCCATTTGGTCCAGCCAAGGGCGGCATTGTGTCCAGTTTCGATGCTTTTCGTAAGTGGTGTCTTTGTGCGGGTGTCGAGATGGAGGGAGGAGTAGTAGGCAGTTTCAAGGTCTCGACTGGTCAATACATGTCGTGATGCGACTTCCCAGCCACATGCGACACCGCGATCGATCCAAGATGAACCCATTGCTAACGGATATCTACAGCTAAAACTAAGAAGACGTATCTCGTACAAGGCCGCAACTCCTCCGCGTGGACAGTGACGCTCATCATAACATGCATCTACCTCGCCTGGTCCGAGATCGCGCGCTGGTTCGCAGGCACAACCACACAATCATTCGCCGTCGAGAAGGGCGTGGCACACGGCATGCGAATAAATCTCGACTTGATAGTAGCCATGCGCTGCGCCGATCTTCACGTCAATATGCAAGATGCTGCCGGTGACCGCACCCTGGCTGGCGAGCTTCTGCGCAAAGACCCAACATCATGGGCACAATGGACCGGCAAGAACGCCGAGAGTGGGACACACGAACTGGGCAAAGATAAAAAAGTTGGATGGGATGATATCGAGGACGTACATGAGCAGCTGGGCAAGGCGCGGAAGAGCAAGTTCAGCAAGACACCGCGCGTGCGCGGACAGACTGACAGCTGCCGTATCTACGGCAGTATCATTGGAAACAAGGTACAAGGCGACTTCCACATCACGGCTAGGGGCCACGGATACATGGAGTTTGGAGAGCATCTTGACCATTCCAGTAAGTCCAAACAAATTAAGAACCACGAAGATGACATTTGCTAACATCCACCAGCATTCAACTTCTCGCACATCATCCGCGAGATGTCTTTCGGCCCATACTACCCCTCGCTTGTCAACCCGCTCGACAACACCATCGCCGTAACACCCACACCCCAAGACAAATTCTACAAATTCCAATACTACGTCTCCATAGTCCCCACTATCTACACCGACGACGCATCCATGATCCCCTACCTCACATCCAGCACATCCGAAGAAGACACGCCCTTCTCAAACATGTTCCACACCACCCACGCCATCAAGACCAACCAATACGCCGTTACATCGCAGTCCCACAAGGTCGCTGAAACCTACGTACCGGGTATCTTCGTCAAGTTCGATATCGAGCCTATTCTGCTAGCGGTGGTGGAGGAGTGGGGTGGCTTCTGGAGACTGATTGTTAGGCTGGTGAATGTTGTCAGTGGTGTTATGGTTGCGGGGAGTTGGGCGTGGCAGATGTTTGATTGGGCGAGTGAGGTTATGGGGAAGAGGAGGAGGAGGGGTGATGGTGTTGGTGTGTTGGGGACGCCGTCGGTGGAGAAGAAGAGCTGGGATTAGAGTGGTGGTTTTGATAGAGGAGGATGCATTTAATGGCGTTTAGGTTATGGGGAATGGGTTTCATCTTGGGAATTTTGTGAGTAAAGTAACCTCCTTTCTACGAATTTATAAGTGCTGCACACCGTAAAGTATCTGTATTGGCGGAATGGCTCGTGGCGAATATTGGATCTTGAGATTGCGGGACTGCGCGATTGCGCTATGGTACGTGTCGCTTTTCATGCCTTACAATCCGCCCCCCTTGCGTAGCTGACAGTTCTGCATAGAACCCTGGAAGCAGCGCGTACTTCAACCCGTACGATCAGCTCCATCAAATGCGGAGTATCGCCAGTTCAGGAAGTAGCGCGCACTGCGACAAACGCTCCAGCCGACCTCTCTCCCACCTTCTCCCTCTTTCATTCGTTGCTTGGCGGTTTGTGCTACAAGGCGCTAGGCTGTATCTCACTTGCTCTTGCACCACCTTCGTCGGTCTTTGCTTGTTTACCTCCCCACAAAATACGAACAAACGACCACATCATTATTTACTCTCTACATTCTTTGGCCGAGAGTTCTACCACCAAATACTGACGAGCGAACGAACGCATCAAAGACTATCTTTATCGCATTCCAACTCGACTTGACTACATCGCGACTATGGCGTCGCCAACTCCCCCGCAAGATCAAGGTGATTCGCGAGATGAAACCGAGGAGGAGCGAAACGATCGGATAAGGGAGGACCTTCGGGCTAGAATGGTAAGTTATGGCTATACGAAGTGCATGTGAGACATATACTGACTTCGTACCCCTACCTCTGCAGCCTGCTATGGCTGGTCTTGACCGTCGTGGGGAATTGTCGGTCTCGCAAGAAGATGCCGGCGAGATACAGCAACGTTCACAACAAGATACCAGGCTCCGGAATAGCTCGCGCCTGATTCGTGCAAGGGACGCTTACGAGGCTCGCCGCGCTCTCGGTAGTCAGACTGCGCGCGTCGATCCCAGTAATCCGACCGTCACTGAAGCAGAGGGTCAAGGGGCCGCCACTACACCGCGCCCAGATTCACCTCTACCTGCGCCACGGTACAGGCGGATAGGTCCAACCGAGAACGCCAATGAGCTACACGTTCCTCAAATTCGACCTGCCACAGAGCGAACTAGATGGTCAGACCCAACCTTGGAGTCGCGTCTAGCGTCAGTCGGTCGTATTCAGAACATATTGAACCCTGAGCCAGCTGAGACTCCCCGGCCTAAAAGCCATATGCCCACTCTGCGGTCTCAACCAGAGTTCTACATGACCGGAGTCATAGCCGTCGACACTACCGCAGAGCCTCTTCCCGAGAACGCGGAATGTACGATTTGCCTTGAACCTCTCTCAGACGACGTGGTCAAGTTCCACGCTTGCGGCCACATGTTTCATACCGTCTGTGTACAGAGCTGGTTCGATCAGAGCGCTCCGCGTACGGGTGTGAAGCGAGGTACTTGCCCGAACTGTCGACATGAGCTGTACGAGCCAGATCCGCAATTTCGACGTTCACATGCGCAGCGAACTCCTCGTGCAGAGCCGGCGCATCCACATATGCCTGCGCCACTACGTCTTACTACAGGGGACGTAGTGGATGTGATGCATCCGGCGCTACCTCGCACTGGAGTGACTCCACCGACGGATGCTCCCCGACTTCCTGTTAGTTCCGAACGTGAATCCCGTCTCGCGCGGTTCGTGGCTGATCACCGAGAACGTGTGAGGGCGCATGACCAGCAAGAGCAGCAGGCTGGCAATGCTCCAGCCCCAGCTCTAGATCGAAGGTTTGTAAGCGTCACTCGAGTACCTCATGTCGCTCCCGGATCTCACTTACCTGGATACGCGCCTCATCGCATTGAGTCATCGGAGAGCCCCCGAGGAGGTACGATGGAACGAGA